AAGGACTCTAACATAACAAAATGTGACAAAAGTTAAGGGGTATGATTTAGGGATGTGCATCTCCATCACTGACGGGCCCGTCCACACACAGGCATGAAAAAATCTTTCAAAGCTTCGCCCATTCACTTGAATGGGGTGACGTAGAAGATTTTTAATCTTCGCCGAACTGCATTGTGGGGAGCGGAGCATGGCTTTGCAAGCATCGTGAGCATCAAAAGTTGAGCAATGTTCAACTTTTGATGCTCCCGATGCTTTCGAAGCTGGCATCAGCCAATCAAATCCCGTTTATGCAAATCCCGCCAGTACAAGTGCTAGCCAATCAAACCGCGTGCAAGCTGGGAGAGCCAGACCGCAGTTCATTTCCTCATATTCCAAACGAGATATTACGGTAGCAAATTATCCGGTTCTTTACGACCAGAACTATTTACTGGGATACAAACCGGAGGAACCAGGCATGGAGGGAGGTGGCAGAGACAGTGGGTGAAACTGGTAGGTTTTCGCCTGTTTGGAGAGTTTATATCCAGTTTACTTCGTTTTAACATTGCTATTGCTTTGTATGTCGGGGGCGGGAGATTCATGTGATTGGTTGTTGGTCGCTTCAGACACGCCCAGCTTCAAGATTTTTCAAGATTTTTTTCATGCCTGTGTGTGGATGGGCCGTTACTGCAGATGTGTATCACCAGCAGGGGGTGAAGCTTGAAATGGACCAAGTGTATTTAATTTGCCATTTTCGGGTCTCTAGAGAGATATGATTTGCAAAACTCGACTTTTAATATAATGTGATCCTAAATAAATGGAAACGGACGAAGTTAAGAAGTCATCAGGCAAATGCAAATCCTTATAATTGCCTCAATAATCAAGTTTCTTTTGGATAACCCTACGGATGATCAGCATGTCCGAACACTTCTCTGTATTCTCTGGTGTACTGCAACATGGGCAATTCATGACATGATCAAGCCTTGCTGTGAAAATAAACATTGAAGTGACACCAGATTGCTGTGAATTCATTTTAATCTTCTTAGTAAAGTTTTGAAAGTCTAAACAAGTCTGGATTGGACTGTATAAGCAACCAATGCACACATTATACAATCTACGCCATATAGATTTAACGGACAATGCAAATCGTGATAGATTATAAAATTATTGTTTTACTCCCATTGTGTTATTTTATATATGTATTCCCCGTACAGCACTTTGGTTAACTGAGGTCGTTTTAAATGTGCTATATAAATAAATAAAGATTAAGATTGAGATAATAATCGCAATTGCATTTGTGGTAAAATAAAGTTCTGTTTTTTTTTTTAAACCGTTGCAATGTTTCATTACTCAAAGAAGAAGGAAGAGGAAGACATATGGACTGCAGTGTATCCATCCTGTGAATTAGCTGCCTCAGCGACATGCTAAGAGGCCGACATGTTACAGAGAATCGTGGTGGGGGGGGCGTTTAAATCCAAACGCTCGCTGACACGGCTTATCGGCCGCAGAGTCAGGAGGCGAGGAGTTAGGAGGGAAATGACGGTGTATTGTTACCCCGACTGTATCAGTGCAAAACATACGAGAGGAGGGGAAAGGGAGGGGAGAGGAAGGGGGGAGAAAAGGAGAAATGACAGAAAGGAGGGAAGAAGAAGAAAGAAAACTAAGAAGAAGATGAACACATCAATGTCCGTACAAGGCATTTTAATACAGGCTCTGCACTACTGTGTGTGTGTGTGTGTGTGTGTGTGTGTGTGTGTGTGTGTGTGTGTGTGTGTGAGGTTAGATAACTGACCAATCGTTTTCC